CTGCCTCGTATTGCACAGTAGTAACGCGTGGTAACAGTTGTAATGAGCTCAGGAGCACTTAGTTTAAAATTGGTATGGGTTTGAGGCCGGGCGTGTAAACATATGCAGTTCCGTGCTAGAAGGGACCAGCTCTCTAAAATAACACTCAATTAAAAAAAGTAAACATTTAGCATATTTAAAACGAAAAACATTTAGCTCAACAGGGAATTATTGATGTGCTAAGTTTCCATTCTATCGTTCTTTTTCCTTCTTAGCGATTTTTACCTCACGTGACAAGTGCCCTACCATCATTGATATTTGGTCAGTGCAGATATGATGCCTAGTCACACTGCCAGCCAGTTCGGCGGCATCGAGAAAACCTCTCAGACTTTTTACGCGAGGCCTCTAGACATTTTTTGTTTCTTCATTCCGTAGGGTGTTTTAATTGTACGCACAGCCACGCACGTTAAGCGAGACCAAAGATATAAAGGTTATGAACGATCGACCTATGGAGACCAGTTGGTCACCAGACGGTCACCTAGAAAAAGACTTTCTACGCGCAGCCAAGCTTCAACCCTGGCTCCTTCATCATCTCGGAAGTCATGGAAGATGGCGCTTACAGCATAACTGAGTCTACTTCAGTCCTCCGCCGCAAAGGGCAGCTTACATTGCGGAACGTTATCCCCAATATGAAGTCCTATATCCTATTTTACTTTCCATCGATTGGTGACAACTTTGTTCGCTGTGACAGTGAGATATGGGCCTACGCCCGCTTGACATGTAACTTCGTTACAATGATTATTCTCTCAGAAATAAAGTCGCATTAATTTGCTTTTAGGTTCCCCTCAGCTTTGTGATCTATCATGTCACAGAAGGTGAAAAAAATATTGAAAATGCGACGGGCTGCTCAGCCCAACAGTTCAACTTGTGCGTTGTTCCAACGTTTTGCTTCGACAAACAGCGAATTACCCAGACGCGCCCCTTCTGCCCGAAGCTACAAGGGATCTTTCTTGTCATAAAATCAGTTTGACATAAATTTATCAAATGCTCGTAACCGTAAACATTACATCGTCGATGCCGTTTCATAGAATCAATTTCGCATCATTACATTAGCGCTTTCCAGCAGCAATAAAAAAAACTTAGGGTTAATTTGACCATTCTATTTTTCCCGTCTGTATTCTGCCCTTCGGCCGAAAAGTTTTTCGCTTCGGGAAAGAGTTTATTTCGATTGCCCGCTTTTTACTTCTAAATGTCTCCTCCTCGAGCTATGCCTGACTTCGTTAGCTAACTGGACGCTGAGCCTCCTTCCCTGAGAGACGCTGCTGCTCCCTCTTTTTCGCAAGACCAAATTAGTTTATGTTAAAGCTGCGTCATTTTGAGTGTTTTATACCAGCAACGGGTCGAAAGGACAATGTCGAAGGAGTACCGCAGTCACACCAAGCGGGGTCCCTAAGGACACTACGTTTTTCGGCTACACCTTTTCTCAAGCAGAATGAATGTTGGCTCGCATTCCAGAGGCAAACCACGTTAGCTACTCCGAGAAACAGCCAGAAATTATATGTCGAAAGCAAAAACGAGCAGCTTATTTCGGCTGAATAACGGTTACACCTTCATCTGTGGATAGTTAGTTAATGTATACCCGTCATATTAGCAGACTGAATCCCTTACTTACGGATGAGCAAGAATCAACGACATTATTTAATTTCTTTGTCTAAGCAGCCTAGAGCCCAGTTTAGCTTAAGGCCTTTCTATGCTAAGGAACAGGGCAAAAGTAGCAAACGGTCATAGCCAAGCAAAGTGCATTAGTGCGAGCTAAGAAATATAGGTATAGCTTGGCCATAATTTTCTCCAAATTCATTATCTCTACGCATCGGTTTTTCATAAACATTCATTCAAGTAAAACGTAACAAACAAAGGAGTTCGCTTAAATTCAATGTTCTGTTCACGTAAACAGATTACATAATTCTACACCAGAGGCTTTATATGTCAGTATCTTCGCCCGTGCTCTGTGCAGAAGGTAATCTGGTTGCCGTCTGCCGACTTTACCTACAACAAAAGTATTTCCGAATACGTAACGTATATACTTTTAATGTAATTTAGCTAATTTTCTATGTTGCGGTTGTGCATAGCTGAAAACATATCTGCATAGAAGCACAATTGCTTAACCGCGCTATGAACACGACATAACAATGTCGATCTAACTAATTACATAGGTTGGTTCCTCTGTGTCAGACACACCTAAAGCAAGGTAAAGCTTAGCACTTGCACGTTATCGTGAGGCCTTTTTCAAAATATCGTTGGATTAAGGGTTATTGCAGAAAAAGACGTACAGGCGTAGATTGCAAATTAAATGACCTTTAACAATGTTATCGGCATTGCATGCGAATGGGACATCGTGTAATAGCTTATTTATGACACATCCTCTAACGAATAAGAAGGGCCAAGACGAGGTCGACTACACGGGATGTTACAGCTAACTGAGACCTCACAGTACGGTAGCATCAAGCCAACACATCTATACTAGTACGTGTATGTGTACGTAAACTTTGAGCGTGATATAAACATTCATTGGTGGAGTCGGTAGCTGTTCGTATAATCATTGCAATACTACTGAAGCTGGCAAGACTACACCTGTCGAACGCGTAAATCCGTATATCCATATATATATATATATATATAAAGTACGTATATCTGTTTATAAAAATTACTTAATGTAATTTTCCGTTAATTAAGGTGTATTAAAAAACGAACAAGCCACAATTAAGCTTCGTACGACTCACGGGATTAGCTGCTAATCGTGGTCATGACGAAGGACACCTTGGAAGCTACAACGATCTATGCTAGGCCCCGAACCCACCTAGAATGCGAGAAATTCTTTCTCACAGTTAATTTGAGTTGCGGAAAGAGCTGATTTGAAGCATTTGCTTATGCTTCAATGAAGATGCTCAGAAGAACTTTTGGCGTTGCTCACACCTAACGAGTACATCAAGCGAATATTGTTCACACAGGAAAAGGTATTCTTAATAGAAAACAGGCTCCAAGAAACAGTGGTTCGATGCTCATGAAACAAATTCATGTAGCAAATAACACTGATATTAACGTAATTACATTGTTCTAATCGGTGTGGTCGCGAGCTGATACATGACTATAAGTAATATACTTACGACACGAGAACTTATCGAAAGAATCATATAGACGGCTGACATGTGATGAAGCATTTGGCGAGCTAAATTTCACCCCATTTACAGTATCTCAACCGCATCGATTCTTTTTTAGCACTCGTATAGCAAAATGAAAACACCTACATTCTATGCTAGGACGTTATACATACACGATAGTCAATTAGTCGTAACGAATTTGCCGATCAAAAACATATTATGCCCTAGGCTCGAGGCCAATGACACGCTGGCAGAAGGCACCCCACAGCGACCCTTGACGACAGTCCCGTAACTATTGTGCTTACATGCCTATCCATCCTAGAGAGGCGAAGACGAGTGTAAAAAATTATATACCTTCCTTTTTTTTTTAACTACAAAACGTAAATTTAGATTCAAACATCATTCCGATAAATCTGGCAAATCAGAACGCACCTGTTCCTTCTGCACGTAGAATCTTTCCTCCGGTATAATCGTTTGAAATATACAGTAACCGCACACATGGCCGATCAAGGTCAACTGAATTATAGCGTTTACTCAATACTCCTACCGTTCGTAACCCGTTTTGCCGGATCGGACAACGAGAAGCACTTGAATTATTTACTATACAATATATTTTCTATTGAGATCTTGCTTTTTGTGTACACGCCAAAGGATGCCTAACAACGTAATCGTACGGACGAAGGCGCATGTAGACTGACGGAATCATTGCTACGCCTCTGTATTATAACGTACATTAATCGAGCGTAATAATTGAAATCAATCGATTCAAGCTATTTTCTCTCTTTGTTCATGTATTTAACGAGTTAATGGTCGTCAGAATGGTCACTGCAAAAACCTATTGTCTTGGTGATCAACAGGGCTGAGAGAAGCGGCGTTTATTCAAAGGCTCGCAACAGTCGCATCCTGACATATATTTCCTTCGACAGGGCAAATATTCCCACCTGGTCGACAAAAATAAACAATCTCTGGTCACACCCTATTATAGTAGTATAACAATAATCCAGCTTTTACCGGTAAGTAATAATTGTCTCTGCCGGCGCTCGATGCTAAGTCACAAAACCATACCCTTCGCTATATGCAACGAAGATTAGGATATGACACTGTCCTACTGTTAAGGTAAGGCATTTTGCCAAATTCGATGTCTGCGGGTGTGACTCAAATGCTGTCTATTGACAGCTGTCTGATACGGGGCTCGTTGCCCTGCTGGCTGCAATGTATGCCTAGAAAATTGGTACGAACATGGCCTTTGCTATCTGTCGGATACTGGGATAGCAACAAATCTTGTATAATACAATGGTTCTGCCCTGATGTCAGACGAACGGGTGACTTTAGTTGTGGCTTTTTGTGTCAAATCAGATGGTCCAATTTTATCGAAATCCATATAACAACTATACGACAGAATTTACATAGATGAAGTGATGACCTACAATAGAACTGCAAAAGCAAGCTTCTTACACTTCATAAAGTAGACACGTTTGCCTCTTTGCGGTTATCCCAAATTTTAAGCGTAAGCGTTCGAAAACACGCATCGATCTACACGTATCGGCAATTTACGTACGTTTAAACCACGCCCGCATCTGTAGCACGTGTATGTACAGGATACGATTTCAATGACACGAACTGTGATACCGTGGACATCGTCCGCCTCCCTTTACAATGATAACTGTTACGACGGTTAATCTCAAACAAACAAATCATAACCCCCTGAAATATGGAGCCGATGCATACTTCCATTCCATACAAGTAACTATAAAAGTTCATTCACCAAATATATATATATATATATATATTGGTTGCCCCATATGGGCAAAGCCTGCCTATTGTGAACACAAAATCTATGTTAGATATTTGATTGTTTCTAACCTTTAGTTTGTTCGAAGTTTTCATTACTCGCAGCCTTCTTTTCCAGAATCGGATTGAGTAGTTCTTTATCGAATTCAAACACTGTTAACTTCATTGTTGCCGTGGGGTCTTCGTATGAACAGTCAGAATCTGCTGTTGTTATTGGAACGTTAGCCAGAATGAGATTTCACGGGGTCCTGAACTCTGGTAGATTATGCGAAAGATTCACAAAAGAATGATCAAGATGAACGTAGCCATCAGCTGAAGAGATCCGAGATCGAGAAGGTGTCCCGCGCATCAATCCATACGGTGCTACAAAAACGGCTGACTTCACCAGATGCAAGTGGCTAGTTATCGTCAAATACGTATTTTTGCTTCCCGCCCAGTATTTCTACGCGGCATCATATATCACGAAACTGAGATGGGTCAGTATCCTATGCAAAATTGTCTCATCGAGTCCTCCCCTGTTTTATTCCCAAATGCGCTTCGTTTACATTTCTGCTGATAATCCTTCAAACTGGATATAGCTGACAAATTCACGAACGCAAATTGCTTTTCTTCGGTACAATCCTCGTGGAAGTGTGAACGCTTGAGTATTTTAACTACCGCCGTAACTCGAATTGGCTCTATATATCTCTATTGACGTGTTGTTCTGTACAGCTTCACGTACGCACATAAATCAAATGTGCAAAGTAATGACACTAAGAAAAAGTATTTCTTTCACGTACGAGTACTGAAGATTTCTCAATCTTTTAATCGGCTTCACTTGACAATTAACCACTACTTTTTACGACAAACTCTCTGTTCGTTTCGTGCATAGATGACAGCTATGCGAAGCGTGCTTTTCCCGGCTAAACATCAAGCGACTCTGGAAACGTCATCGCACTGAGACGTAGTCGTACCTTTACGTTGTCCTCTCGTGTCGAACTGTCGCCGGCAACTCCTTCGTCACTGATACGCTCTAGGCAAGCATTCTCCTGAGCTAGCTGATAACATCCTGATGCTAGTGAACGTCAACGCTAGCACAAAACCGAGGTACAAGTCCATACTACAGTAGCGTATCGGTTATAGCAGATTTTACCAACAGATCCTCCCACTTTTGGCTAACCAGCAATAATCTATTGCCTCGTTAGCTGGATTGAATGCTCACAAGAATGCTAAACGAGTAATTAACGCTACGGTACATGCCAGCAGTGCTAGCAGTATTCCATTATTCCTGGATGCCTCCTGAATAACGGCAAACAAGCAAACGGCTTCCCACTGCCCCTGATGTTTTGCCATCCACTCGCGTGTACGTCATTGTCAAAAAATAAGATCACCCATTTAAAGCGGCCGCTGGTACGGAAACTATGGGGAACGAGATTATTTCCGAAACACCTGTCCAGCCTTGCGCCGCAACCGTGCTACGTTACGGCCGCTACCACAAATACTGAATAGCCTGCCTATAACGGATGTTATTTCGTGAATCATGAACTTGAATGGCTGCAGCAGTTATTATTGGCGAGGAACTTTCTTAAAATTATTATTATTACTACTATTATTACATGATAAAAATTAGTGTTTATTATGAATATGACGATTGAAGTCGGTAGTGATTTTACACTGTTGTCTACTGCTGCTACGGTTAGCACTATACCAATTAGCTTCTTCGTCCTCCACTAGATTTCTATAATCTACGGGTGGCTCGAAGTTGTCACCGGCTAGTGGAACAAACGACAACCATCGGACGCCATTTCTTTGAGTAGTATCTAATATATTCAAGTATACGGGTTTATGGTGGTCAGCCGTAGGCTGAAGTAACACTGAGCCCTGAAAAGGCGCACATCGGCCGACAACGGTGACCAGAAATAGCCGCTACCTTATCGACTTGTTATGTTTGATATGGCACCAGTTCGCGATCGATCTATCCTATTCCGCTGGATTCTTCGCTGGCTTATTGTTGTCGTTCCTTCCCTGTTATCGTTGGTCTGTCTGTAATTGTTTTCACAGGTCTGATGCCTCTTCACGCGTTACCCAGACACTGCTAGCGCATCTTTCAATGTCTCGTTGAGTATGGCTTATCGTATTCAATCACCGTGGCCGGAATATCGGAGAAGTGTAATAAACACTACTGCGATCACAAATGATTGCGTAATCAGCAAATAGTCCTGTGTCGTACAGTTGTGTAAATAGTTATATTGACACTACCCCGAAGTACAATTTGCGTGGCCCATGATCCACGGCATACTCCGTCCATACAAGAAACACTATTGCATAGTGTATCTGAATAGGGCAAAGCCAGTTTCACTGTTAAATCGCACTATAACACACGGAAACATCTCTATTGCAGCACAAATTTAATATTTTACCAAACAGATGAATTGGTTTTTGACCGTTCTCTCTGTGATGTTTCCACAGTTCAACTGTTACTACCTCAGCGGTTATGTACGGTCGATATCTACTGGTAACTCGATGACCGCGTGCGTCAGCCGGTCCGTACTGCCGCTACATCGCCAAATGAGGGTTTCTCTGAAATTCGCTTGCCCCGCTCAATTCCGTGGACTCTCAGTCACAACTACGCCAAGCATATACAGCCAATAAGAATAAATAACAGCATACGACGCAAAAGTGTCAGTATCAGTTGTAATTGAGGTGCCAAGTAGATCGACGAGCGCTGCGGTACTATGTAATGAAGAATTGCTCCGTAATGCGCGCAGATGCCGAATGACTCCGATAGGTAAACAGTAACCAGATTCAGCAATAACTAAACAATTCTGCCATTGGTAAATGCATTATAGAACGAGGTGGTTGGAGAATCCGATTAGATGAAAAGACGCACTAAATTTTTCTATGTCTGTCACTCTTCGTAATGCCGTGGGTAGCCAGCGAGAGGAACACCGTCAATACAATGAGTAGCCACAACACTCACGGAACACGCGCGCGGTCTGTATTCGGAGACGCTGCTCTGCGCCCAACACTGATGTTTGAGGGCCCATGTTCGACCTCTCCAATCACTCTGACCCGTTAACGCCACTACATTCAACTCGTGAATGGAGAGCAGAGCCCAATCAAAGTCAAAAGCGCTCACTACAAATAAATCTCGTGGTCGACCGCTCCTGCCCCTGAAGTAGTCTAGCTTTTCCTCTTGGAACGACTCAGTGCCGTGTGTCAAATAGATACCCGAGCTTCATATTATGTTAGAAATGTACCATAGTGTTTCATGATCTCGCGGACTTGTGGGTCTTAGGCGGTCCCACTTGATTGGGTTTTGCTAGCTGATGAGTGGAGCAAATACTTTGACGTCTTTTGCCGATGAACAAGACGAGATGGCAGTGGCGAGGTGGCCGAAGCGGGCCCTCCTTTCAGCTTTTCTTCACGTAGCGTCAGGCCGCCGTTTCACTGCCGAGCGGCTGAAAGCCAGCGGTAGAGCTGACACTTTGCTCGTCCGTATCCGCGCAGGGACACCCTAACCCTCTTCGTCGTCATCTGCCTGTTTTACAATACGTACGCGCCAGTCGGCACCGGCTGGCGAAACCGGTGGGAGAGGAAGATTACAAGGACGCCTGGCATACGCCACCCTCCACCTTTTGCCACCCGTGGCCGGAACGGAATCAATATTGTTGAGAACAAAATGGACAAAAAAGACGGAGGGGGTAAGGGAAACGATAAATACGCACGAGACTGATACAAGTGAACGATACAAGATACTCGCTGAGGCCGCTAGCGGCTAATGATCGTGAAACCCTTTCCTTCTACCGGCTGTCATCCTTCCCGACGTACGTGCTGCTGGAAACAGAGCGCAGCGTTACCCTAACCACAACTATATGATCATAAAAAATTAGACCCAAAACAGCAGAACAGATCCATACCGTATTAGTTAATGAGCAGAGGTTGCGGGAACGTAGGGAAGTGGCCACGCGTATTGTCTTGCATATGGCAGAAGCGTGTGGACACGCACAAGTGAATAGGAACGAATAATGATGAGAAAACTGATGACTGACAGAAGGATTCGCCCCGCGTAAATGAATGCAACGAAGCGATCACCATAAGGCGTCAGAAAGCTGCTTACGTAATTTGAGTGTTCTGCCAAGAAACTGAAAGATATATGCATACATATATGGATCACGCAGCGCGCCGTAGAAAAAAACGCGACTTCTGAAGGATAATGATCTTATAACCTAGCCTGCATTACAGAGGGAAAGATGGCTCGAAGGATGGACGTCGAACTCGAGTCTAGCTTGTTTGGGGCGTATGTGCTCGTTTTGATATAGCATTTAATATGATTATAATATTCCATATCTTTATATAGAACGCTGAAAGAATACATACTTTTTAATTGTACTACTAAACTGTAAGTAGAACTTCACTTTTAATTTTCTTAACTGTAAGGTCATTTCAATTAATTTTATGATTAGTTTCTGTGCGCACCCTCGACACGACGGTTCGTACGGTGAAGCTTTAAATCGAAAGGGACCAGGGACCATTACTTCCAATCCTGCGAATGACACACACTATACAATCTGTGTGAGCACAAAAAGTCACGTATGTTTAAAGAAAAAAGAGTGGATTTTTATAGTGCCGCAGAGCTGTTCGACCGGAAATTGCAACCGAATCGGGAACTGGGCACTGATTCGTATTAGGGAGCATAGTTTATTTTATATAATGCAATGGTAAAACGAACTGGTAAAAGTTATTGTCATGCCAGGTCGAACTATATTTTGGGTTAGGTTTTTCACCGAGCATCAGTCGAATCAAAAAGGGTCTCTGTTGTTTGGCTTTCTGATTAGTACCGACCACTTTCCATTTGTATTGTGTTAGACCGTACGGTTGACAGTAGGTGAGCAAGACGATGCTAATGACAACTACCAAAAGTGTTATGGCAAACGCACGGAAGACCAGAGAGACCACTCCTCTAAACAGCATATCCGTACTTTTGATCTGATGCTTAAAAACCTCTTTCAGATTCGTTTCTGCCAATTGTAATGTCTAGCGAATTGCCGAGCGCGACTGCGGATATCAACGATATTCAGGACCCGGTGCCGTTCCTGCGCTGAGCGAAACTGCTCCACGACAAACGATGATGTCGTAATAAGTGCTCCCGACTCACATCTGCTCACACCCGTAAGGAACGCGCGACTTCATGAATCGAAAAACGATCTAGCCCAATCGCCGTCCGCTGTTTCAGCTTACCATGTATATATAGTACACGTTACATACAATTTACGTTTACATATCTAGTAACGATATAGCAAAAATAATGCATCAGGTCATAAAACTGCCCGTTTTTACTTCAGCTTTTTAGTCGCTCAGTAAAGCTGGACACATATAAACGATAGATTGGCGACAGAAGATCGGAGCGCACGTTGCTTCATGAGTGCACGATGGCAGTTCAAACACGGACCGTGCGCTCACCGTATCTAGCATTATTACGGCTATAATATATATCAATATTACCTCTAGCAGGATAATAGACGCCGATTCAGATATCATTAACTGATAGCGTTTGTGATGCTAGCTGCGGACCGAACGGGTCAATAGTCCTACAAAGCAGATATATATATGCATATATATACACATCCATATGTATTAGTATCTGCATGTTAGCGGACGGATGTGGCAAACACTCAGAAGTTGCCGAAGCGCCAAAAGATAGTTTTTTGTGATTCTTCTTTCTCCCAATAGTACAGCATCAGCTACAGAAGCGGAGCGATTGTGTGAGCCTCTGGTCCTGAATACAGAAGTGTGCCATGGTCGATAGTATGTAACTGACTTGAGAATATTGGTCGGATGACTTTATGGTATTTGGCCCATGTTGGCGGCAACAGATAGTAGCTTACGGTAGCAGCAAACATAATGGCTAGCCCGGAGACTTCTTCTGCCCAACCTCTAGAGCAGAAATCAGCAGAGGAATCTACGGCACCAAATATAGTACCTAAGAGATAAGTGCAATACAAGTATCGAGTCACAAACGACTTCGAGTCAAAAACGACGGAAAGCAGATCAGCATAGCATAAATGGGAAACGATAAGAGATATGATCTCAAGAAGAACGATATCAATGACTAGGAAAACTGCGCTAAAAGTAGCCAACATCACCTTGAAACGTGCTGTTGTTAATTTGGGGATTTGTCACTTAAGAAAGCGGAACCTTGTAAGAATACGGAACTTTATTCAAGTTCAAGAAGAGGTATTCGGTGTAGACGTAGAGCGTGTGGCTTGCTCAAGGAAGTAAAAAATGCTTTTAGATTGATTTTCCGGTCGAAGTGACCGCGAAGGAATAGTAGAGTCTAAAAAGTAAACGATTTGCTGCTAGATATTGTGTATGAATGTAAACGGCGTCGCGATCGTGTTCGCCATTTCGAAAATTGGTTAGACATTACATTTCCCATAATGATGGTACGTATTTGTCTTTTTATTCAGCAAATAAGCATAAGACACTAATCGATCTATAATATCGCGGTGATAAACGCTATGATAACCAGTCTCCCTTAAATATAGAAGATATTCTTTTGAGGATTATCCTAATCAATAGTCTACTATTTTATAATTATATATAAAAATTTTAAGAGAAACACTATTTGTGAGCAGCATCATTTCTCCTTTGCTACTTGCTTCCGACAAGCTGTTTAATACACTCACATTTGATGAATTTCTTACAGTATCAAGTCAAAGTGGCATGAATAGATATCCATACCTTTAGCACTTTAATTTTCCATTCAGCGCTTCACACAAAAAAAAGGATACTTTTTATGCGACAACAACAAGTCGACCATTTAAATGCGGTCCATTTATATATCGTCGTCGTATACCAATCTGGCTGATCGCCGATGCTCCAAAACGGAACACATATATACCATTTATATGCAAAGTAAATCGCCTTGCTCATCGTTCCCCTATTCTTTATAAAATGCTGCTTTCGTACGACGCCCTACAATGGTAAATCTCTCGCTTGACGTATACGCACGTCGCCACCTAATCAGAGGTATCTCGCGCGAAAACCACGTGCATCTACGAAAAGCATTCAATCCAAAATGCCCCAATAAACAGATACACCCAATAATATATTCATATACGCACACGTACACACACAGACAGAGGTACAAAAACAAAGACAAAACCACATAAGCACAAATGCACATTCAAAAAAGCCCGTGTACACTCGCACAGAAATCTGCGAATCTTCAGAACAGCGACTCTGAAGAGAGAATTGCCGGTATGGTTATTGCTCCTGTCATTCTTAAAGCACCCCACGACAGCAGTGATGACTGTCCAAGTGCTGACGGAGATATCATCATAAACGTGATATCAATGAAATGGTGAGCTTTGCGCGATCGGTCCGCTAACAACAACAGTCGCTGTTATCATTGGTACAGCCCGACAGCTCTTTAATATCCAATAGCCGTCGCTTTTTTCGCTGTCACTTCTAATGTTCCAGCAGACGCAACGTTGTTCTGGTGAACTTAGCTTTTCAGCTGTATCGGATTTCGCTGCTTGAAAACCTGAGCGAGCTTCTGCTGTCGCCGTCGTAGCAGAAGAAAACTGACAGAAGATTCTGCCGAAATCTGAGCAGCAGCAACGGCAGCAGCTGTAACAGCCGGTGTAGGTGGAGTACCATCGGCGAAATCTTCACGTCACTATCGTGGACGGTTGCAGGTTAGAGAAAAATCTTCTAAGACGCGTCACAGTATTTCCCCTTCCAGTAACGTTTTTCGAATGTCCCTGTTGTATGTTGCAGTCGGCACTGTTCCTTCATTGTTGCTATACATATAAGGGATAAAGCTAGACTAAATGCTACCTCGTCTCTAAAGAAGAATCGATGTTGTCACGATCCAAAAAGCTTTCGCATACGTGACATGCGATTCCGCACCGTGATTGCACCGCTAGATTGGAGAGGTCGTGACATGAGCCGTGAAGGAGAACCGTTAGCAGACGCGGCCTCGTCAACGCCGTGAAAAGGGGAGCAGTTCTATAGATATTATTCTAACAGTGATAGCAAATATTGCAGAAGAGAAAATAGCGACAGAAGAGAGTGTAATGACAGCAAACGAGGCCGGACACAGTGGCACTGAGCGTTTGAAAACGACCGCCAGTTAAGTAACGACGACGACGACGACGACGACAATAACAACAGCGAAAGGCGAAGTATAGAAAGTATGAGCAGACGACAGAAAAACGGCCAGGCCCGGGTTGCTAAACGGGCCAAAGTGGGATGATAATAACGGCGAACAACAAATCGAACCCAGTAGAAGTTATGTCATGGCGATGGCCAACGACCGTAGGATCTTCTGGTTTGTGGCCGAAATTATTGTGGATGGAGGTTGGCATCGAAATGTGTGGGCATAATGAAGGCGTATCGGCCAACAGATTTGTTGTGTTATCTGACTTCAAAGCTAAAATGTCAAGATGCCGGATCTAGTTATAAGCCACACTTATAGAAGTGCTGTAGCGGAAAAGGGCGT